CTCTCTCTCTCTCTCTCTCTCTCTCTCTCTCTCTCTCTCTCTCTCTCTCTCTCTCTCTTTATTATAAAATCACTTGAGAACCCAATTTGTCTTTACTTCACCTGGTGCTATGGTTGCGTGCTGCATAGGACTTTATCTTCATTGATATTTAGAACCAAAATGCGTTGTACCTGAAATAAACTATTGGTGCCAACGTTGTACGAAATGGTCTCTGGCCTTCCCTCTCCCTTTCTTATAGTAAGTAGGCTTGATAGCATCTAGTTTTGTCGGAGACTAGGAGGTCTTGTAACTTTGTTAGTGGAAAATTGCTTCATTTATAAAAGAAATAATGACCTAGGGAGATAGAAGTAGTAGGAGTTCAAGGAAAATGATTAAGGTGGAGTTAGTATTTTGAGTTTATGATTTCTGAATTCTAAAAAAATAATAATTTATAAGGTTAAGAATAAATTATTTATTTATATTAAATAACTTTTTAACATAAATATAAAATATGAACCACAGTTATTGAGTTTTTCCGAACTGGTTAGTTCCAGCGCCCCCGTGATATTCGGCTTGAATTGTACCATTTGAGCGGTGTTTTGCCCCATATTGTGTGCTTAGGTATAGTAGGTTGCATGGCGTTTGATGTGTTTCCTGCTTATTATGCACTTTATGTGTGTAGGGAATGAATTTGACAAAAACGGATGGAAAAAAATGAATTGGAGCAAAACGTGGGTGAAGAGCTAAATCAGCCCTGCTCACGTCGCGAGAGGGCTTGGACTCCAATAGGTCTCAGCCTCGAGCAGGAGGCAGTGAAGGAAGCAATCGCGAGCTCCCATTGCGAGACCTGAGGCAGCTCGTCTGCCCCTCCTTGCCGGCACGAGGACTATGGACGAGCGTCCTAGTTCTCCTACTACTAAAAAACTAGAATTAGCTACGAAGTTGGTCGTTAATCAATCGGTAAATCACTAATAGCTAACGGATTTTTTTTGATAATCAATCGCTAATTCATTTTTTAAGTAGGAATAGTGATGGATTTTGTTATTTAGCTACATAATTTATCCATCGCTAATTTTTATTTTTTTAGTAGTGTCCTGTCGGAGGTTTGATTGACTTAGTCCGTCTCATACAAGCCCTAATTGCTATAAATGCATCCAAGAATGACTTTTTGAGGGCTAGACACTACTTTTAGAGGCAAGAACGTGCAAGGAGCGAAGACGAGTAGATTCAGGCAACAAGCTTTTGTTCTTCTTCTTATTCCTCTTGTTGGTTATGAATTAAATATTGTATTTTATATACTATTATGAGTAGTTAAATTCCTACTCTAGAGTTTGATGGAACCGGTTGTTGGATCAATTATTGAATACATTTAGTTATAATTGAGCCGTTTTGATCTTTATTTGTTCAACTATATTTTGTTTATACTTAATTGAAGAGCCTTTGATTAACGGTATCTTATTGGCGTGTATTACTTGAGAAAAAATATGTGTTTAGGTTATTGTTGAACATCGTCACTCCTATGTATTTGAGAGATTAATGCTTTAGGTCTAAAAAGCGGATTATAAATAACGAAGTTTTGACATAGTTGGAGTGAGTTGTTGAAATAGCTTGCAAGCATAGTTGGAGAGAATATATCTAGTTTAATATCACAATTGATCGAGAGATAATTGTAGTAAGTTAAGATCCCACAATTGATAGAGAATAATCAGAAAACATTATAGCTAACGTGTCTAGAAGTAATACGACAATTGAGAAAGTCGTTACCCTAGGTTCGTTATGTCTTGATTAAAACTCCATTATTTGTAGTTGTTAGTTGTAATTTCTTTTGATAGATTAGAAGTTATTTAGTTTAAACAAAACAAAATCGAAATTTTAATACTTTGAAAGTTGACTGAGCTCGTTTCTTAAAATTACCAAAATATTATAGAGAATAGGTTAGCTTTGTGGGATTTAACTTCAGACTCTTAAACTGAATTTTATTTGTAGCGATCACTTATTTCTTTTATTAGGCATAATTGTGCATGATCAAATTTTGACACTATTGCCGGGGACTAATGATATTATTTAGTAACAACTTAGAGAGATTGCTAGAAATTGTAGCAGAGTCAATTTTCCTTCTTGCTTTTGTTTCTATTTTAGTCTCACGTCCTAAATCTTGTGTCTCACAGGTATATGCCGAGAAATTCCTCAAGAACTGATAAACTTTTCGAGGCTTAGTGGATCTTGAAAAAGCATTAGAGGTACTCAACCATGCAAATAAGAAAGATAAGCGACCATTGAATCAGCAAAAAATAAATAAAAAGTGAGATCATTATGGGTGATAATAGGGATCGCAACAATAACGGGAACAATGAAATAATCCACCAAATCCTCAAATTCGTAACCAAGTTGTGTCACTATCTTGTGCCGAAAGCTTCTCTTTATGATTGGGCACAACCCATTGCGGATAATCTGGCAAAAATAATTGTTGTTACAGAGGTACAAGCTAAGAGTTTTCAGATCACAAATAATATGCTACATCTTTTGTAAAATAAGAGGCTATTCTATTGTTTACACATTGAAAACCTGCAACAACATTTGAATGAATTATTTATCTATTTGTGTCACTTAAGGCAGCCGAATATGACACCTGAGTCGATTAGGATATTCCATTCTTAGTGAACGAGGATGCACAAACTTGGCTGAATTCACTCCCCACCAACTCTTTCACTACTTGGGACGAATAAGCCAAGCAGTTCTTGAACAAGTTCTTTCCATCAAGAAATATGACAAAGCTGATTGATGAAATCCTACAATTTAGGCGAAAGCTAATAGAGGCCTTACAAGAGACATAAGAAATATTCAAGGGTATTTTCGTGAAGAATCCATACCATGGCATTTTAGATTAGATGTTGGGTCATAGAATTTATATGGAGTTAGCTGACAGTTTGAAAGCGAATGTGGATGCTTCAATGGATGGAGCATTCTTGAGCAAATCGTTCACTGAGTGCAAAGTTCTGCTTGATATGATGACCTAGAATTCAGGCTGGATGACGAGGGACAACACTCACCCCAATTGTCCCCTTTGTGCCTCTTGACCTGAATAATATAATGGATAAACATATTTCGACCTTGATGACTCATATGAGTCTTTTAATAAGAAGATTGATGAATCAAGTAAGAAATAGGTTATTGTACTGAGTTTAAGAGGTTTTGATAATTAACAAATGATTGTGAAAAAATCAAGTCTCTTAAAGTCCGTTGATCAGGAGCTGGAAGTTGTTTCCGTGCAAGAAGAATTGAGTTGGAAAAACCAATTCTTGTTGATAGTGAGATTCCTTAAAGGTTTTGTCCGTAAGCTACAAGGAAAATATTAGCTGAAGGGATTTGCGATCAACAGAGATTTCAATTATGAAAATACCTGCATGAAAAGGAAAAATGCATAAAGGAGTCTTTCAATGAAATAATATAGAATTCTTTTAGTATTTATTTTCCTTAAGATAGTGACATTTTAGGTTTTGAAGCTAAAATTGGAGAAGAATTCGTCCAACCTCACTCATATATATGTAACAATCTGACTGGTCATTTTGAGTTCTAGAACCCTATTCTGTTATGTAATGTTTCACGTAGATTATCTTGATATCGGGATGGGTGGTTTGGTTTTCGAGAGGTTCGGGAGTGATTTGGAACACTTAGTTCCTAAGTTGAGGCTTAAGGTTAGAAGAGTTGAACAATATCAACATTATGGATAAAACGACCCAGATTTGGTGTTTTGGTGTTTTGAAGGTTTCAATAAATTCGTATGATAATTCTAGACTTGTACGTATATTTGGTTCGGGTATCGTTCAACGCTTCTAATCGAGAGTTAGAATTTTAAACTGAAGAAAGTTTGAGATTTTTGATTTGATGCTTGATTCTTGGTATTGATATTATTTTTAGTATTTTGAGCCTTTAGACAATTTTTTATANGGGGGGGGGGGTGTCTGTCTCGATCGCAATTAAGTAATTTGGCCCAGGGACATTTTAATATCCAGATTTCAGGATTTACCTCATTTTTACCATTTTTGAGGAGGTAATTATTTAGAAGATTTTCACCCCAAACTTGAGGGTTAGTAATTCTTACTTGGTTTTGATTGTATATTTTGATTCTCCATTGAATTCTATATACCTAAAACACAGAATTAAAGACTAAAATTTATAATTTTGTCTATAACTTAAGAGAGAATATTTGTTTTTGGGAGGGGGGTTTAAATACTGATTCAGACTCAGATTTGGAAATTAATCACATAATTGGACTTGTGAAATTATGGGTCAACGAGATTTGACCTTAGACTCGAGTTTTGGCCATATGAGCCCAGGATAATTTTTGCATTGCACCTTTTCTTAATTATCAAAACACATATAACTCGACACAATCTTCTGGATATATTTTAGCGTAATTAGCTATAGTTGCACTTCCTTTCGAAAGCTGCTTTGGAGCATTATTTGTCGCCAACGATAAAACCAGCTTTAAATGATGAATTTGTATGGAAAGAAGGAATTGTCATGTGCTCCTAGTCCGTAATAAAATATTATTGTAATTTTCGCTCACAAATTTTTTACTTTCATAATTTTCCTTTCAAATCGAAGCCATGTCCAAATTATTATCAACTTGCACAAACCTTTTCCAATCTCCAACTTCAATCAACTGGAATATCCAAACCCTTATGATAAGTTGTTTAACAC